ATATATATATATTACATATATGTATATATTATATATAATGTATAGTATAATATATATATATATATATATATTATACTTGAAATATTAAACAATTTCGAACGAATATTTTATTAAATGAAAATAATGAACTCGAAATTACCATTGAGCGAAAATGTTAAAACAATTCAAAATATTAACTGAATACATTAGAGTGTTTGATTTACTCTAACATAAATGATTGTTAAATTAGTCGAAGAAAATGTACATATATTGTAGTTTAAGGTAAAAGCCCAGTGTGACGCCCAAAATTTCGACGTTTTTTCATGAATTTTTTTATACATGAAAATAAAATGCGATTGTTTTGAAATTTAAATATGTTTTTATTACTGTTTTAAAGTGTACAGAAAAATTTTTGTTGACTTCATTTTACATAAATTTGTTTATGATTTTCTAAGTCAAAACAGAGTCCTCGAAAAAAAGTAGGTTGTCTCGGGGAAGCATGCAGTCTTCCGTAGTCATTTGAAACGAAAAATTTAAACAGATTATTATTCTGTAGACTTGTCGCTAATGACTAAACCTCTAATATGCAAACATTTTTCAAAAATAACAAAATAGCGGACTTGCAAAAAAATAATTTTCAAAATCGCACTTCTTTTTAATTGTTTACAAAAATTAATTTATTATTAAAAAATTTAATTTTTTAGAGGTTCGGTACTTACGTAAATATGTTAAGAATAACGGATTAAAATTTTAGCCAAATCGGTTGAATAGTTTTTAGTCAGTGCTTCCCCGAAATTTCGAAAACGTGGTTTCGAGAAAAACGCGTTTAAAGTTTTGACAACATATATGTTGTCACTACGGCGCGCTCTCTTCTTTTTGCTATAACTTCCTAAATACTTTGAATTTAGACCTAAAATTTTTGAAGCATATTTTCAAGATGTTTTTCTTTCAAAAAATATAGCTAAAAAATTTCGATTTTTTTTGACCCCACACACCGGACTTATACCTTAAAAGTACAGTAGAGCCTGTTTTTGTGTGATCCTTTTCTATGCGATTTTTTTTTTTGTGCGATATGTTTTGTGCGATCTTTTTTTCGTGCGATTTTTTTCATGCGGTATATGAATTTCAGCGGCGTTGGCACCAGTTTAATGTTTCCTATCAGTGTACATATACATGTATGGACAAACCCTGACTACATGGACTCCTTGACGATAATGGAACTTTATACAATCACTGGATCATGGCATAATCGCAAATTTTAAGAAACATTATCTCCAATTAATTTTTAGCTACATTCTGAAAAAACTAGAGAACGATGAATTAGGCCTGACTGAAGTTTGGAAAAAATTCTCAATTTTAAACTGCATAAACTATATTACTGCAGCAATTGGTCAAATAAAACAACACACATTAAATTCGTGCTGGAAAGCGATCTGGTCTGAATGTGTAATTAATCGAAATGTAACCGAAAACGCGTCCACGTTATTATCTGAAATTACTGCACTCGCACATAACATCAGCGGAGAGGGCTTTGATACTTTCGGCGAAAATGATCTTGACGAAATGATTGAGGACGAAACTGTCAATGATAGTAACATTATCAATAATTGATGGACTATGAAGTCGGACAAGAAGAACCGGAATCTATTACAGCCGATAAAATATATGCAGGGATCCGGATTTCTAAAAAATTGGAAACGCATTTTCTTAAAATAGATACTAATTCTTAAAAAAGCTTGAAATTTCAAAAAAAGCTAAGATCATGCATTTCTTGCTATCGTAACGTGTACAAGCAACTGACCAATCGTCTGACGTCACAAAAATTGACCACAGACTTTCTGGTGCCAAAATCAATTGAAATCGTATCTTCAAGCGACGAAAGTGATATGAAACTAATTCGTCACAAGAAAATGCGCGTTTTGGATTACGAGTAGCAGTGAATTATTTAATGTATATTTTGAAAATTTCTGCATATATACGATGAAAAATTAAGTGTTTTTAAAATATTTCTAGGTCTAAGTTACTTATTTAATTTGTTGGAAAGCATTTTCTGCTTTATTTCGTAAATAATTGATGTATTTTCTAAGTGTGACTTTTTTATGCGGCCCCTCTCCGCCGCATAAAAAAAATTTTATTGAATATATCGTACAAAGTTGTTTATTATATGTAAGTATTTCTAAAATTTCTGAATATTTTTTTGTACGATTTTTTTTATTCGGTCCCTATCCTTCGCACAAAAAGAGGTTTTACTGTACCTTCCTCCTCAAAATCCACCATTAGACTGGCTCATTGTTCTCTATAAAAGTTCTTTTATTAATTGTTGTTTATATGACTTTCAACAGAATAAGTTCAATTTATTACGAATATTATTTTCGTTATACATATGTAGCGTTCTAAAAGTCATGTAAACAACGTTTAAATAAAAGTACTTTCACAGAGGACAAACAACTCAGTTTATTGTTTGTTTTCGAAGAGGAAGGTGCATCGAACTTGAACTCCACGCTTCTAGACAACAATATATATTTCCTTCGATTATTTAACAATCGTTTAAGGTATGTCTAATACTCTAACGTATTCTATTTACATTTAGTACATACCATTTACATTAGATTGTTTAAACTAATATACATTTGTTTTAACGTTCCTGTCCAGTGTTAATATTTTTGAGTTGAAAATTTTTACCTAATAAAATATCAAATCAAAATAG